ATGTTCAGTAATTGTGCAATTAAGACATTTGGCTCCATATATTAACTAGCGTCAATTTCACAGAGAACGTGGGAGGGCATAGGTAACTGTGGGGCAGTTCGTGAAGTTTTTGTTACCCAATTAAATGAGTCTGAAAAGCGCATTCAGAATACTCTGGGGGATATGTGCATCTTTAGCTTGCTCTTCTTAAACCTAAATAAAAAAGAAACTGTGCATAGCTTGGGAATTCACCTGAAGGCCTTCGTTATTTGCGTACTTAGAATGCAATTTGGCGTTTTCGGTGCTGCACTCCTACTATTCTATTTCTCAGAGACAATACATAAGCACCCTAATGGATTAAAGTTAGAAGTTGTAACTTTCGCTATTGTTCCTGGATATCTTATAGCTCATACGACATGATGAAAAAAAGTAGCTAAACTGATTACCCCAGCACCACATAAAGAGTACCCCGATGTGGAATACTTTAATGGGGAGTGATTCCCGCCCATTAGCAAGATAGAGAGATAGCTGAGACACTGTGCTGTACACGCCTTGGGTTGCATTGAAATCACGATCACCATTTCTATCTTTTCAGTTGCAGTATCACGATGTCTGTTACGGAGCCGCAAGCACCGCTTCACGTGATGCGCGGTGCTCATAAAGCCCAAGAAAAAAAGAAAAGATTTGCTGGAAAATGTCTCCATTTCAATGTGGTCATCATCATCATCAGCCTGGCTACGTCCATTGCAGGACAAAGGCCTCTCCCATGTTCCGCCAGTTAACCCGGTCCTGTGCTTGCTGCTGCCAATTTATACCCGCAAACTTCTTAATCTTATCTGCCCACCTAACCTTATGTCTTCCCCTAACTCGCTTGCCTGCTCTGGGAATCCAGTTAGTTACCCTTAATGACCAGTGGTTATCCTGTCTAAGTGCTACACGCCCGGCCTATGTCCATTTTCTCTTCTTGATTTCAACTATGATCTCCTTAACCCCCGTTTGTTCCCTAATACACTCTGCTTTTTTTTATTGATATGATATCTAAGGAGATGTTAGCGCACCATTATGGCGCCGGCTACTCCTTAGTCGTTGATTGAAACTTGAACACGCATCTTGAAGCAAAACATACAAAGCAGTGCATGGAGAATAGAAAACTCGGGCACAGATATGCAAAGACACACTTATACGCACATATCAAAATGGTAAGTAAATGTTCGAAAGTCAATGTAAGAAGTCTTTGGAAATGTCCCTCGTTAATATTCGGTCCACCAGCACAAAACAGCAAAGCACACGTCTGGTCCTCTTTTTGTCTCTTAAGGTTACACCTACCATTTTAGGGGCGAAGCTCTTTATGGCGTGGCTTGGGCGTCTCTCGTAGTACGTAACCACCAGTGGCACATACCCGAACAAGGTATAACATTTGACCTCCAGGGTGGTGCCGGTGAGAGATATCTTCTGTGCGTTGTTTAACAATAAAAAATAGGGCTCAATGTACATGCCAATGGCTGCTAAGGGGGAATGAGAGTCTGGAGCATTCGGCTTTTAGTCAACGCGCACGCTGTGATCCTCATTAGCAGCCATTGGCTTGTACATTGAGCACTATCGGTCAAGAAAGGGTTGCTACATTATACTCGCTAGGTGTAACCTCCTTAGTTTTAGAAAGATTTAGCGAGCATTGGGCCGCAGTGCCATGAATACAGTGAACTAGTATATACCATGAACTCAAGGTGGTTGAAGGTGGGAAGTAGACCCGAAGCGCAAGCCGTAAGAAAGTGTGCATGTGCCACCTCTCGTTTAGCCCTTGGAATGTCCACTGAATGGCGGTGCTTCTATATGGGGAATATATGATAAAAAGATGTGAGATAGTGGGACTTGAAGAGTTGAATAGATAGATGCACGAACGAACACACAGACAGATGCAAGGATGGACGCATGAACGGACGCAGGGGCGGATGCATGAACGAACGCAGGGACGGGCGCACGAACAGACGCATGGACGGTCACACAGACGGACGCATGGACGGAGGAATGCTTCGCCCTCTCTCCATCATTCACTCCGTGGATATGCTGCCATTTTTTTCTTTCCATTGCTCGCTGCGTCGTCCTCAATTTAAGCTGAACGCTCTTTGTCAGTCTCCAGGTTTCTGCTCCGTAGCTAAGTACCGGCAAGATGCAGCTGTTATATACCTTTCTCTTAAGGGATAGTGAGAATCTACCTGTCATATTTTGAGAGTGCTTGCCAAACGTGCTCCACCCCATTCTTATTTTTCAAGTGACTTTAATCTCGTGGTTCGGCTCCGCGGTTATTACCTGCCCTAGGTAGACATAGTCTTTTACAAATTGAAGTGCACTATTATTTATCTCGACGCGTAATGTGGTCAATTCTTTTCAAAGAAAAAAAAAACAAATAAAGAAGACCACTACTCCTTGTACAAGCATTACTAAAATTGTGATGCGGGGCGCAGCTTTACGTTTCTTGCTCTATACCTGGTCTATGCAGCGTGTCAGCAAAGGCACCTTATCGTACGGTCACATCAGGTGCTAGGCCTCTACTTATGCAGAGAACCATAGCATGCACACCACGTCATCTCTCTCTCTTCCTCTCTCTCTCTTTTTTAAAATCTGTAGGTGCGAGAATTCGCTCTGGGCTGTCCGGCTGGCCGAAGACGCCACCAGAATTCAAGACCTCGCCGCCAGCTGAGCAAAAGAGGGTTACACAGGGACCCGTCTTGCCCTGCCGCGGTGGTTTAGTGGTTAAGGTACTTAACCGGTGTAGTGGTTAAGGTTAAGAACCCGCGACCTGCTACCCGCAGGTCGCGGGTTAGAATCCTGGCTGCGGCGGCTGCATTTCTGATAGAGGCGGAAATGTTGTAGGCCTGTGTGCTCAGATTTGGGTGCACGATAAAGAACCCCAAGTGGTCGAAATTTCCGGAGCCCTCCACTACGGCGTCTCTCATAATCATATGATGGTATTGGGACGTTAAACCCCACATATCAATCAATCAAAATCAGGGACCCGTCTTCCAGAGCTTCGCCTCTTTTGACGTACACACTGCAGAGACGCTTCAATAAAGTTTATTTCGTTCTTTCTCGACACCATACGGATGAAGTGTCTTTACTAAGGCACTGCCTCGAATATTTTGCTCGCATGACAGTGCAGCGTTACAAACAATTCTTTCCAATGGCCTTTGTAATACATATTTAAAAAATTTGCAAGCCGTTTCACGCTGTGGATGCGGAGGACCAGCGAAGCTGTTTAATAGGGGTGTCGCAAACTTTCGAAGCCAAGCAGATCACACATTTCGCAACTAAATCCGAAATTCCTTTCCAGACTCTCCCGTTTCAAACTATAGCGCGTGTGCCACTAAAGCTTTCTATTTGAGCAGCATGACAACTACGCCATTTCGCCTTTTTGTCAGTTTAGGGTCGTGTTGTCTGACTTGCTACTTGTTCTCGACGTTGCAAGCTCACCCGACATTGTTGTTAACGACCACGTGCCCTTTTCTTTCATTCTTAGTGGAGCGTTGGTTGGGTTCGCCCAACACGTGGGACACGAAAGGTCCAGCCGACGCGTAGGAGAATTGCATGAAACCCGAGGCATATACAGAGAGAGAGAGAGAGAGAGAGAGAGAGAAATAAATAAAAGGAAGAGACAGGGAGGTTAACCATGACAAACTGGTTTGCTACCCTGTACGGGGGTGGGGAAAAGGGTCGGAAAGAGGATAGATATAGAGAGATATAAAATAAATTAGAAAAAAAAACCACATGCGCACACATTCAGGGAGTTCCGATCACAGTCGTTTGGATAGGCCGGTTGAACGCAAGAAGCGCAGAAGCGCCTTCACAGCCTTTTTCTGCGACATAAAGTCCTGTCGGCAGCACAGGATTCTTTCTTCGGAAAGAGGCTGGTTGTCCATCTAGTGCATTGCAGAGTGACTGTCTCTGATATGTTGCTAAATGTGCAGGTGCATTCATTGAAACTGTGTTTCCCCCATAAAAGTAGTTTGTGCCGCATCATAACGGATATCCTACTACGGCACGGCTAGAAACGAAACTCATCAGATGCCATCGGCGCAGGCGTCCCGTACCTCACAAGCAGCAGGGGAGACAGAAAGACCTCGAATTCTGCACCTAAGGCTGGAGTAAGGAAAACGGCAGTTACAGCAGAACCGATCTTGGCAACAGGTGCTTGCCGACTGCTGACGTCCAATAACGTTCCTGCAGGTAACCACGAATAGAACGCAGTCATCAAGACCGCAATTGTTTTCCGAATATCGTATCTGCAGGACATAGAAAATGTACCCTTAAGCTAGAACCACTGGTTTCGCACGCACCCCCCTCCAAAAAAAAATATCGCATATGTGTGCGTTGTATTTGGGGAATCGGTGTGCCTGATGTTAGTTTTCTTTTCATATTTTATGTACTCTTTACCATACGTTCGCAACATTCAGCTAACCAAGCTACGGCATCGTCCCTCACTAGAACCACTTACCATTGTCGAGCGGACTTAAAGACATCTAAAAGGTGCAATGTCAAGAGTACCGTGGAAACGATTCCAGCAAACGAGCGTCGTCAGCGTGTTCATTGTATATACATGGAACCTACTCCACTTGAAAAACAATGTTTCAACTATTTCAAACAAGCATAGATAACAAGTTTTTATATTATCAACAGAAGAAAGTGTAGCATCACTAAGCACTGGGTGCACGTTAAAGAACCCCAGGTGGTCTCAATTTCCGTAGGACTCCAAAACGGCGTGTCTCATAATCGTATGGTGGTTTTAGGGCGTTAAACCCCACATATCAAATCCCTCAGCATACCAGCGACACATTTATTACTACATCATTTCCAACTATATTGATGTTCGTACTTCAGAAGTAGTAACAAACAGTGCCCTCCCCCCCCCCCCCTTTTTTTTTCTCTTGATGGTCGGCGATACACATCTATAGGGCACCGCTGATAGCTGGAGCATTACTGGAAAACAAAGAAATCCGATCGAGGAGACAGCGGATGCATTGGCTTACAGAGTGGGCTGCTGCGAGCGCTTGCTGGCGAATAGCATGTAGCCGCACTTGCAGAGGCCCGCATTGAAGCGGAAGCCCGTGAGGCGGCAGAAAGCCCGGCAGTCCAGTCGCTTGGCCGGCTCCACAGCGCTGGGCTGCTGCAGCAGTAGCAGCGCGAGTAGCAGGCAGCCCGCCGCCAAGGGGCACGCGGCCGACGAGGAACCACCCCAGGCTGCGCGGATCGGCATCTCGTCGTTTTTTGACTACTTGCACGTGCCGCCGCTATCGATGTCGCCGGCCTTGTTTAGACGTCACCGCGCCGGTCAAGCGGCGCCCGATCAGGGCGCCTTAAAAAGCGCGCCACCGAAGAGGCCGGCCGCGGCCGCGACTCCGCCCAGCTCCGCCCGGTCCGGCCCTCGATTGGCCCCGGGCTCCGCGACGAAGAGCTTCGGCCGCGTGGCTGGCCCGCGGTGCGCGTGACGCGTGTATGCGTGGTGCCCACGTACAAGCCGAGTTTGCTTGTGATGCGCCCGAGTTACGCACAGCTTCGTCTGCCGCATAGATCCGAGAGAGTCGTCTGTGTGTGCAGGAATACATAATCTATCGTGCCTCCCAAGAACGAACGACCCGTCCGAATTGCTCTTCCAGCCGCTGCAGTTCTGCGCGAGGAAGAGGGGGAAAAAGCCAATTCGCCTCACACTAAAGTGCCCTTGACGCTTTTTGGCCCGTGAAGCGCGTCAGAACTTCGTTGTCTGCGCATTTTGTTCACCCCTTTTTCAAGACGCTTAAGCAATCAGGATGAGACCAAGAAACAGTGACATTTCAGCGCTCGCTGAAGCTGCTTCGGGAGTGTAACACGAGGCTGCCACCCACCTGTTGCTATGTGCCAAACGAGTGCGAGGAGGCGTAGCAGCTTCGCCAGTACTGTTTCTCAAGCCCACCTTCATTAGCAGTTAGCTAAATTCAAGTACCCTCTTCTAGTCAAGCAATAGTCAAGCACTTTATCTTTCCTTTTTTTTTCTGCTACGGCACTGACAACATTTGACAATCAATATTTTGTACGTTGGCATTGCTTTAGCTGACTTGGCTCCTGGACGTCATCATGCTCCCAACCAGCTTCGTATTTTATTTATTGTGATCTTCGAATGACGTGAAACGTTTGGGTCGTCAGTTCAATAATGCCGGACAGTTCATGTGCCGTTGAATGAAAGGTGGATTTTTTTTTTTTCGAACAGAGAGCCATCAAGCTTGCACACAATATGTGTAATATATATTGCACATAGCACAAATGAACATTCTGCAACAGATCCTGACATGTGTTTTTGTTGTTGATGTTGAAAATTTTTTTTAATTGAAGTGTTTTCTGTACCGGCACCATATAACTAAAGAGAAATTAAATGCTGATGACTTTATTACCAAAGCATGTGTTACAAAGAAAGCTTTGTTGTGAAATCCTCAATAAATTTTATGCCCAACAGAAATACGTTGATGTACATTGGACCAAACACGCGCTATATATTTTAGCAACATTAATCTAATCGTGCTTAGTATGAAAAAAAAAACAACATCGAATCATTTTTCTGAACCTTCTTTGTATGAACAAAACCGTTTATCTCTGATTTTTCTTGATCATTTCTGATTATTTGAAATGATGATGAATAGTTAGAAAAAAAAACTTTTGACACATTTTATTGTTAGCTTGAGAATAATCCGGCCGCACCGCAGACATCTTGGATGAAATAAAAAATAGACTTACAATCGGCAAAGCTTCGAACGCTACTACATTCGTATAGCCCCACTGTTGCATGTTGTGTCTGAATAACCTCCATGAAACCTCAAGTCTAGTTCAAATCAATCAGTAGCATCAGGAAACAGGGTTAAGTATTTATGAGTTGAGGAATATAGAATAATAACCTAGTGTGCGTAGAGTACTAAGAAGTATACATGCACCTAAACCACATTATTCAGTGCAATAAAACGCTACAAGAACAAAGTTACTGCTTTTTGACTTCTAGCTATAAGCCCAACGTGTGCCAGGTACCTTAGCCGCTTCATCAGCACCGCTTCTTTGACCCACGACGACAAAAGTATATTATTGCGACGTAAGCTGACTAAACGTTTGCAATATTTGCATGTATCAAGTAAGAGAAGTAAGAGGTGGTAAAACGGCTTAGTGCGGGATCCTATAATAGGCTAATTGGCGGTGTAATCCTATGTTTTGGATGACCATAAACATTAAACATCGCTCCGGGTGAAAATTCAGATGAAGTAGAGGGGAGCCTCTGGTTTCCTTTTCTGAGCTTGCGTACTTTCCGAGCATATACTGTATGGGTGATTAACCACCGATGCTGCTGCTTGCGATAAAAATTCCTCCTGATTATGACTCCTGCAGGAAGACTTGTGATCGGTTCGGGGTTGATCTAGGAAGGACACCAGCGCACACATGTTCTATAAAAAAATTAAAAAAATTTAGAGAACCCGATGAGGATGATGATATGTGGGGTTAAACGTTTAAAACCACAACATGATCATGAGAGACGCCGTCGTGGAGGACTCCGGAAATTTCTACCTTCTAAGGTTCTTTAACGCGCACCCAAATCTGAGCACTCGGGCGTACAGCATTTTCGCCTCCATCAAAAATGCAACAGCCGCAGCCGGGATTCGATCCCGCAACCTTCGAGTCAGAGGCCGAGTACTCGACCACCAGAGCGGGGCACTTTCAGAGAAACCATACCATGTCATTACGTAGACGAAAATGTGTATAAAGGCATGGCGAGCACTGTCTTATACGTTTTACGTGTATATTTGGGTCATGACATTGCTCCAGCTTTGCCATTTAACGCCCGGTCCCTTATCCATCACTTTTTTCGTGTTCCTAGGCGTAGCGTGTATTCCTCCTTCTCTGCCTAGTTTTTCTCAGTTAACGACTAACTGCAGAACATGAGCCCCTACTGCATGACAAGCACAATTACGCTGTAACAATGGATAGCAAAACTTTGCGATAATTTAAAACAGACATGTCAGTGAAAGAAACTAACTTTCCTCGGAAGCCCCGCTGTGGTGGTGTAGTAACTAAGATACTCGGCGACTGACCCGCAGGTCGCGGAATCGAATCCCGGCTGCGTTGGCTGACTTTTCTATGTAGGCGAAAACGCAGCAGGCATGTGTTCTCATATTTGGGTGCAGGTTGACGAATCCCAGGTGGTCAAAACTTCCGGAGCCCTCCACTATATGGCGTCACTCATAATCATATCGTGGGTTTGGGGCGTTAAACCCCACATATCAATGATGAAACTTTCCTCGCAAAGAGCATGCGTCATACGTGTACGTCTCCAGGCTACGTTTTGTTGTGCGAAGCGGCGCACAACAAAATAAAACGATTGCTGCTGGATCAGGGTCATAAGAAAAGCAGCAGCTGTGATCAGTTGGTTGAAATGCTTGTATGAATCGGTCATCGAATAAACAGTCCTAGCAAGCAACAACTTATTTTTTTCGCCACTGCAAATCATGTGGACTACTAGCAATGAGCTGCCGGATGGCATTTCGACATGCTATTTCCAACTTACGCATCTCATGCAGCACGAGCAGCGTTGTCTTAGCTAAGTAACAGCGACATTAAGTCTTATTTTACAGCTTATAACTTTTTTCTGTAGCCACGAGAACAGAAAAGCAACTAATTTGGTATACTAGAAACTTGCTCTACTAGACGCTCTACTAGAAAAAAACGGGAAGACGAAGGTATAGTAAACGCCGGAGGTAGATGCAAAGCAGCTCTTCGACTCGCGTGTTTAACGCTGTGCTACGTGCGTCAGTGCGAACGCGTAAAATGCGTTCCGTTTGCCGCAGGTATTGGAGCCGTGCCAAGTAGGTCAAGGCATAACTGCGCGTTGACGTCACGCTCCCCTCGCACTCTTCCCTTGCAGGTATATGCTGACGTTGGTTTCTCTCTCAATGGCAGGCAGCACGCTCGCCGCAGCGCCCACAATTACTGGCTCCTCTGCTCACTAGAAACACACTTCTTTCTCACCTCACCTTCCGCGCTGCCCGCAAAGGCCAACCGCTTGTTGAGTGGAAGCACAAATGTGCTCGTTTATCTGCGACGAAACTTACAGATAACCATACCCGCCTCACTTGTCTTATCGTTTCAAACAAATGTTTACTCGAGTAAACGCGACACCAAGTTTCGCTTCAAACCATTCTTCCAGCACCCGCGTTGGCGCCTATTTCAACCGAGTCATTGCCGTACACATCACTGCTACTTTGCATTCTATCATGGTTCCCTTCAGGGAGATGGTTCATCAATTTTTCAAATTGTTTTCATGGCACCGTATACATCTGGCACGCTTCAGTGAGTAAACTCACGGGCCAACTGATGGATTTAGCAAGTGGGCAGATTTGATGATCGAACTGCTTTTTAAAGTAATTCTAAACGTTTGGTCGACGACCTGGTGCCTATCATTGTTAGACAATAATTAACACCATTAACCGAGTATTCATTAGATGAATCAGCAAGACCTACAGTTTAAGGAGCATAACAAAGCCAACGGCGCCACTCTCTTACTCTAATTGGCTGCTACTTGCGTTAGCTTTGTACAGTATTTTGTGCGAGAAATCTGCTTAAAACGCGGATATTCCAGCCGCTAGTCATTCCAAACAGTCTCAATAAAACATATAGAAAACTTTGGCAACCATGAAAACTTTTTGCTATTCCTGTTTTGACAGCTGATAAACGGCGCTGCTTTTCTAGAATGTTCCTAAGTTGCTGTTTTTTTTTTCAACACGTAGGTATTTTTAAAGTCTATTGCAGTCATAAGGAGCTTCGGCTTTACAAGATTTGTATGCTCAATTAAATTGTGGCAGAGCGGCAATTTCTAATTGGGCAAAAAGGTGACGGAACAGGACGAGGCAAATTAGATAAGCATTCAATGTTGCTTGCCTCTTCGTATTATTATTATTATTATTATTATTATTATTATTATTATTATTAATATTATTATTATTATTATTATTATATTATTATTATTATTATTATTATTATTATTATTATTATTATTATTATTATTATTATTATTATTATTATTATTATTATGCGAGGAAACAACAGGAAATTTGGATGAAAGCGTGAGGTTTTTTTAAACTTCCCGAAGCATTCGAAGTTTAATATAGGTAAGTGTTCAATAATGAGTGATGTTCTGCACACATTTGGAGCTCCTTAGAAATTCCGAGACTGGCAAACCCACAAAGCAATTTTACAAGCTCTCCGAGGCAAATGAAACGATTTAACGGCGTGGTATATGCACAGTTATACATCCTTTATGGGCCATT